ACTGACATAAATCGTGTTTGAATATTTTTTGACAACTTCCGCGGAAGCACTCTATGAAAACATGTTGAACATAATGTGGTTTTCTTATCGCGTGACTGGGCTAAATATATACACATTCTGTGAATAAATGGGTCTTATATATGCCATAAATCCTTATTTTTTCAACTTTTAATGAGTTGACGTTGCACTTAGAGTCGTCATAAATGTAGAAGGAATATGCTTGTGTGAAGCCATTGCATCTTGACATACGTTAGTGTGATAAAACTGGAGTGAGTGAGTGAGTTGGGTTTTACGCCGCTTTTAGCAATATTCCAGCAATATCACGGCGGGGGACACCAGAAATGGGCTTCACACATTGCACTCATGTAGGGAATCGAACCTGGCTCCTCGGCGCTACGAGCGAACGCTTTGATCACTTGGCTACCCCAATGCCCAATTCGGATGGAAGAGACCACAACGTTGCAGTAAACAGAGGGAAGAATGTGTGAAGTTGGCATGGAAACTATCACAGAACTGCTCCATAATTAACAATGTACAAGCTTGGATGGATTTGAGTATCAGGCCAATAACGAAACTTGTGATAAAAAAATCGTAATCTATGAATGCATGAAATATTGAACAAATAAACTGAATGAATTAATGAAGAAACGAATGAATAACGGAATCAGCGATTGACTGGTTATATGCATGATTGCATGAGTGAATGTACAGAACGGATAGATGTGTGGGTGGGTGTTGTATAAACGCATAAAAAAGGTGGAAGCACAGCTGGATGCACTGGTGAATGGATGTAAAGATGAATGGATGTGAGAGAAAAGCTTTTTATGAAAGAACAGTGAATGAATAAAGTGTCACTGGAATGTGTGCATAGACGGATGAATTAAAAATCGAAAGGTTGGTGGAAAGACTGAATGACTGTCAGACCGAATGAATTGAATTTTGTAAGCCTGATCATCATCATCACCATCATCACCATCATCATCGTCACCATCATTATCATAACCATCATCATCATCATCATCATCACCATCATCATCTTCTTCATCACCATCATCTTCAGCATCAGCATCTTCATCATCATCATCATCATCATCATCTTCATCTATTCTCAGGGGACACCCTTCCTCGAGTGGAATGGGGTTGTAAACTGAACTGGGATGCAGTTAACTAAAAACTGACAACTTGGAAACTTCGACTTACGCTCAGCGATAAGCAATGCCTTATAAACAAGATATAATCGCCCGGACCGTGAATCAAGTCGAAATTTGTTTCGGAGATATTTATTGACACTATTATTTTGAAATATGTAGAAGTATGTAGAAGTACGTGTCGTGAACGACAAATCATCGGAAACATTAGGAACATATCACATGAAAAAACGTAAAATTGGCAAAAAAATCACTATAATAAAAAAAACAACCAACGTCTTCTACAGTCCATTGGAGGATTCCGACTATATGAAATAGTGATGATGCCTGTGTTTTAATGACGAAGTGAAAGTATCCGGCCCTACCAACGCAAACGCACACAAAGGCATGTCAATTGTTCATGTTAAAACACAGGTACCAGTCAAAATTGGGACCTGCATCGGACGTTAATTGTAAAGTATCCAACTTATAAATGTCCTTACACAACATTTTGAAAGCTTTGCTAAGGCCTTAAATGGTGTAATCCTGATGAAACTTCTTGGGCAAGATTCTTGGATTTAATCCCTTGGCCATAGGCTGTTAAGGGACGCGCCTAGTCCAGGTGAATGAAGAAGACACGCCTAAAGACTGGGACACTCATGCCCTTTGTTATGCAAAGCACGCTAGAGATAAAACCATGTAATTTGAGCCATACCCCAGCGTCAGATACATTGCATAGTTTTATTGGACCCAAATGCATTCATTCCAAAACGTTACAAGTTTTTCAAATCTAGAATCTTTCATAGAGTGTTTTAAAAATTCGATTAAACATTGACATCATACACTATTCATGACAATGTTATTCAACTCAATATAAAATTCTCAAAAATAAATGTTCTATTCTCTTGGGCTCTTATGTTAGACCAAGCGTTACTCGGAAAGGGTAGGATTACAGTTGATTGTAATGTTTCAATCAAAATATTTCCAAGAAGTAATCATCTCGAAGTCTGAAAATAGACCATCATTAGGATATTCATCGAAACATTAATGATGTGTTCACGACCGTATGTATATGACCCTATGTTGATTTGTGAAACACGTGATAGAACCTGGGACGATGCTGGTCGCATATCTGAGATTGCCTTGCCTTGGGTCGTAAACACGTCCATGTGACGGCAGTGTTACTGATATGGCGGAAGGACCTCCACTAATTAACCCCAAGACAGTTATTGCAGCCGATGATTCTCCTTCAATTACCCTGGGCCTGCTTTCAGTAATGGCCTGAATCTGGTTCGATAGTGCTGGACAAGACTGACCACCATCTCACGGAGTCAAGGGCTTCCACAGCACGATTAATCGCAGATTACAACTTGAACCAGAACACGAGTACAGTATATTGTTCTGGTCAGTAAGTCAAGGGGTGCATGGTCACTAGTAATTGCGTACAGTGCTGTGGCCAGGGGTGATCCCATAGAGTGCTCTGGTCACTACGTTTTAGTGATCCACATAGTGCAGTGGTCACTAGTGATTCCATATTGTTGACAAAAATGTTGACAATACTGATGCCATACATGTTGACAATACTGATGCCATACATGTTGACAATACTGATGCCATACAGTGCTGTACATGTTGACATTACTGATGCCATACAGTGCTGTACATGTTGACATTATTGATGCCATACAGTGCTATACATGTTGACATTACTGATGCAACACAGTGCTGTATATGTTGACAATACCGATGCCATACAGTGCTGTATATGTTGACAATACTGATGCTACACAGTGCTGTATATGTTGACAATACTGATGCCATACAGTGCTGTACATGTTGACAATACTAATGCCATACAGTGCTGTACATGTTGACAATACTGATGCCATACAGTGCTGTACATGTTGACATTACTGATGCCATACAGTGCTGTATATGTTGACATTACTGATGCTATACAGTGCTGTACATGTTGACAATACTGATGCCATACAGTGCTGTACATGTTGACAATACTGATGCCATACAGTGCTATACATGTCGACAATACTGATGCCATACAGTGCTGTACATGTCGACAATACTGATGCCATACAGTGCTGTACATGTTGACATTACTGATGCTATACAGTGCTGTACATGTTGACAATACTGATGCCATACAGTGCTATACATGTGTATGCTATACAGTGTACATGTCGACAATACTGATGCCATACAGTGCTGTACATGCTATGACATTACTGATGCATACATACATGTGACAATACTGATGCCATACAGTGCTGTACATGTCGACAATACTGATGCCATACAGTGCTGTACATGTTGACAATACTAATGCCATACAGTGCATGTACATGTCGACAATACTGATGCTATACATACTGACATATACAGTGCTATACATGTCGACAATACTGATGCTATACAGTGCTATACATGTCGACAATACTGATGCCATACAGTGCTATACATGTCGACAATACTGATGCCATACAGTGCTATACATGTCGACAATACTGATGCCATACAGTGCTATACATGTCGACAATACTGATGCTATACAGTGCTATACATGTCAACAATACTGATGACCATACAGTGCTATACATGTCGACAATACTGATGCCATACAGATGTGCTATACATGTCGACAATACTGATGCTATACAGTGCTATACATGTCGACAATACTGATGCCATACAGTGCTATACATGTCGACAATACTGATGCCATACAGTGCTATACATGTCGACAATACTGATGCTATACATTGCTATACATGTCGACAATACTGATGCTATACAGTGCTATACATGTCGACAATACTGATGCCATACAGTGCTATACATGTCGACAATACTGATGCCATACAGTGCTATACATGTCGACAATACTGATGCTATATACATGTCGACAATACTGATGCCATACAGTGCTATACATTCCATCATACATGTCGACAATACTGATGCCATGTGCTATACTCGACAATACTGATGCCATAAGTGCTATACATGTCGACAATACTGATGTCATACAGTGCTATACATGTCGACAATACTGATGCTATTAAGTGCTGAGTTCCATCATCTCGGTATGTCCTCCTACAGTAAGCAGACACACCATCATATAAACGGCCTAAAACTAAACTCACCCACACACGCCTGTGATCATTGATGTAACAGATCCTCATCTGGCCTGGACAGATGCATAGCAACATATGTGTTGGTTGGACAACCTGTATCACCATCTAGTCAACCCGGAACACCTATGTTTCATGAACATGTATGACACTCCAGTCATCATCATAGCAGTGTGGTTAGTCACCTTCTGGCGCCTCTCGCATCGACAACAGAAACCCTATCCACGTATCAATAACACAATTGGAGTCAACGTTGCGAAATATGATATATTGCGAAAATGATAGACAATACTACATGTGTACGTCACTGCAAGGATGAGGTGCCCCGGTCTCGTCATCAACAAACCCATCCTCCTCACCACACCCCCTCGACTGCAACGATCCCAGCCACCTGAAGCTTCAGAAGGGTAGGATCACCCGACAGATTCACCCCAACCCACGTCTCACACTACCGGCAATGCAACACCATGACAAGCAGATTGAAACAGTTCCTATTAGATACAGGGTACACTCACAAGCAGTGACAAGACCAACATCGGATCCGGCTGGGGTCCCGTCTTCGTTAGTGTTTAAACAGGGTGTAGCAACAATGAGGCGTTTCTTCACAGGTAACGAAATATCCTGTGTTCTGGGAACAGGTCATATGCAGCAGGTAACAACGCAACAGTTAGTGGTGTCAAGCCATAACGATCTGACTGGGCCTGGTTATAGCCTTGTCACATACCTGTTATATCTGAGCTTGTCAACTGGAACAGCTGCTTGGCAAACCTGAAAGAAACAAATATAACTGCATAAGTTTGTCAGAATTCCACGATTAGAAAGATTGAAGTCATTAAGGAAATGTGTGATAGAACGTCGAGAGAGAGAGCGAGAGAGAGAGAGAGAGAGAGAGAGAGAGAGAGAGAGAGAGAGAGAGAGACAGAGAGACAGAGAGCGAGAGGGAGAGAGAGGGGGAGAGAGAGACAGAAAGGGAGAGAAAGATCTAGAGAGTCAGTGAGGTAGAGAGAGACAGAAAGACAGAAAGAGGAGAGAGAGAGGCAGTGAGAGAGACAGTTAGAGCGAGAGAGTGACAGAGGAGAGAGAGAGAGAGAGAGAGAGAGAGAGAGAGAAAGAGAGAGAGGGAGAGAAAGAGAGAGAGGGAGGAATTATTGGGCACCAGGCTGTCTGATCAATGTTAATATACGTGGTACGCGGTATGCAGGTATAATATTTCATACACTCACCACATGTCACACACGCTATCCTTGGCAGCTGTCTTCTATTTCAAATTTCAACGCAAAGTCATTTGGTAAATACACTCCATATATACTCAGATAAACACACCACAACCAGCCAGTGTTTTAAAGAGACATAACTTCCGTGCACAAGCACTAATTCCAGGTAACACACTTGAAACGTAAATGTTTCCTCAATGGATGCTGGTCGAACAGAACAAGGTTTTCCAGGTAATATGTTGTTAATGAGGTCTTAGCACGCTGTCTACATGCAGGCATATACGAAATGACTTCTCCGTATTGTCTTGTGCTTGTGTGCTGAATATGACAAATATAATACTGATTATATCAAACCGGGTCCAAATTGGCATTTGCAGAGCTAATCAACTCCAATCACGAAGGTGGAACAAAACTATCGCAACGATCCGGACCTTACCCTACCATGAAAGTCAACACCAGGCAAACTTTAAACACATCTTGTGACTAACTTGCACAATAAAACAACCGGACTGTACTTCAGGATAAACTATTTAAGGAAATATTGCGTCATGGGACGCAATTCTTGACGTAATTAGTACAGGGTTCCTTGTGAATTTCTGAGGCATTTTTGTGATCGGGTTTGAATGACTGTTCAATCTATCCATCAATTATACATATAGTCGGTACACACATGACAGGTCTAGACGGTAGCCCATTCAATACAAGCAGGGATTAGGTAAATGTTGTTAACATGCCAAGAGACCCCTGTTTATATGATAAAAGAGTAATTACGTCTGTCTTCATGGTTTGAAAATGGCATAAATACATACATCTTAGCAGGAAGCAAATGTATGGTAAGATGTCTGGGTTTATACTGTTCAATCACAAAGCTTTACAGTCTAAACATCACACAGTCACTCAGTTGTGATGTCGGGTTGAAAGGTGTTATTTACACACATTAAATGTGAATCTAACTGATAAATGTGCCAGGTATATTGCGGCGTTTTCTATTGGTATATTGTATTACCTTCAATAATGGTGACGTGATACAAATCACTCAAACCGTTAACAGAAGCGACAAAACCATTCCCAGAAATAGTTACAACTCTGTATTGAAGGCAAACGTGTTGTGCGATTCCCTATGAAATAGTTGTGATATAAGGTGTTCGAGAAACAATGAGTCTATCCTACCCACCTGGTTTGTCACAAACACATGCAAAGGCAGATCAATTGTCTAATACTTCACTATGTAATTACATACTATTTTAGATTGATGGAAAGACAGATTAAATAATTGTTTTAAAGTGATACAGGTCCCAAAATAAAACACAACCCACTGCAGTGATTATCTACATTCAAAGGGTGAGAATCGAGAAAGTTTCAAAGTTTCAAACATAAAACACAATAGACTGCATCGGGAACAGCGAATTATGTATAGTGTGGTATTTACAACCTGATTGTAGTGCTGCACGGGATCAATTCAAGAATTAACTCACTTGCATCGATCAGATCCAGCAGAAAAAAACATTGGCTGTCAAATCGCAATCTTCACCAATCGCTTCAGCCTTACAAATTCTCATTTGAGGACATACAAGAATATAATGCTATCGGGCAATGTTGAAACATGGCCAAGAAACACGGAAGGAGTCCTCGGGATCACATGTATGCAAAACATTAACGTAAAGCGAGGCAGACCGCTTGGAAATTTGAAACGCTGATCTCTAACTCGAAGTGTATTTCGATCTAAACGAGAGCAATAGCCATCACAGTGCTGCTCACACGGGCCTCGTGTCGATCCAGATTAAAGACTGCGGGGAAACATATGTCCCTGTCTCAGCACCCAATTCAAGAATTGTATTTGTAATTAAATGGTTTGAGCTGTGTGTAGGTGTGTTAATAGAGGCGTGTTCAGAATCGAACGTTGTCCATGATGTTAAAGTTGACAAAAAGATGGATGCCCACTTGACATATATACCGTTAGACATTTCTTGAAAATTGAGTTTTTTCTTTTATGGATGTATAAACGTATGAACCGGTGGGATACGCCGTAAATACTCCACGCAGGCTTGTTATTTAATCATTAAGACAGAAAAACGTAGACATCTATGCGAAATCTGTGGCATCGATTTACGCAATAATGACCCAAGTCCATCTGTAATCACAAAATCAGCAAACAGTTGTCGGTTAGTGGCATTAGACTGACCTGTTTTCGGTTTATTGAAACATAAACGCAAAAATGATTGCTTGGTTTGCCAATCGAACGCCATAAAATGACTTGTAATATATTTATTGCATTAATATTACAAATATTGACAAGAATGGTTTCCCATATTGTTCTAAATTTCTTTTTAAAGCGCCATGAAACCCATTTCGCGTGCCTCTTGTATTTACGTGGAGATTTAAACCCAGGACTGTGGCAGAAGGAGCGAATACTTTAAGCATTGTGTTACTTCAATAATCCCAAGTCGGCGAAACGAAAGTAGATGTATAATATGGTTTTATGCCTTCTTAAGCACTACTTGACTAATGCAACGAGGAGACACCGAGAAACGGCCATTTGTTCCAGTCGAACCGTTACCAGCTATCAGCACACGCTAATATATATGAAGACACCGGGTGTTCTGCGTTCTTTCGCCTAGCTGGCACTATAACAACAGACAATGCTAAACAAATGTCTTGCAGGCTAATGAACGTACGGGTATCTCATTCTCCGAGATATACCCGGCAGTTCATCCAATTACGGACACGCTACAAAGACTAACCCAGATATATCAATACTTCGACCTTGGCTATGAACATACCATGTGACTTTATCACGAAGTCGATCATACCAATGTGGTATCTCTCTGAAAGGAACCCAGGTCTTTAACAAAACGAGCTTTACTTAACATATATCTATGCTTGGATTTCTTCGTTAGACCAACGATTGACATCAGATGATCAGTGGAATGGCTGATCAACGCATTTCCTCTTGAGACTGACTAGAAGAACGGTGTCCAGGCGGTCATTGTGTCCAGCAATAGACGTCATTATTATCACATATATCACGTTTCTTCACAATGGGTTAATAGGTCATTGGATCCTAGGGTCTCCAGTCGAATGAGCATCGATGTGTAAATATAATTCCTAAATGATCGCCTCCTTTCGTGAGAATAGATCGCCAGGAGACTTCAATTGTAGCCGAAGTCCGGTCTCTCGTTTCATGAGACTCCGTCTGGTTCTGGTAGAGCTGTCGACATGCGATGCAATGTTTTGCACCGCGACTGTTAATTTGTATTGTGTAATTCGCTTGCAATTACAATTGCAGTGTTGCGAAAGCTTGGTTTTTTTGCAGACTATTCTGGTACAGTGGAAATCAGTTTAACCTTTCGTGTATGTTTTAGATGTTTTAGTAACATGTCAGTCTCTAGTTTTGAGGTGTATAACATTCGCATGGCACACAGCTTTTACATCATCAACTGTAACATTTTATTGTCAAGACGCATGACCATGTACGGACGCATACAAATCCTATTTCATCACAGGCTTGAACTATGTTATTTCCAAGGCTTTGAAAAGTAAATTATATGTTTCTTTTCATCATGTCATTTACAGCTTTCCTGTAATTTTTCGGGGTGAATAATTATTGTTGATTAGCCGATGATGAAATCCAGCACCATTCTCAAGATTATCGGGATTTCATTGGAAAGGTTATCTTCCCTTGTTAGATCAACACCAAAATGGTTTCCGGCTAGTTTTCGATGGAGACGAATGGCCTGGTGACCTGGTCATCTGAGGACAGTGGCTGTGTATATAATCATCATTCGGAAACATACATGTAAGGTGGGTTCGACATTTCCACAACATATGTGGGCAGGACGCATTTGGCCGAGATAATGCACGCCTCTGTTTTCCTTTGTCCCTCGTCTGGCACTGTCCGCCTGTGGCAAAGTGGTGATTAGGTATGTCCTACAGACCTGAGACACAGGTGACCTGTGCCAGACAGCATGTACACAAGTGACATTTGCACTGATTGTGTGCACAATGATAGCCTGTATGATGATAGGACAATGGAACTCACAGCCAATGCAGTGATAAGACCGCCCACTTCTGGGTCTTGGAGCTGTCTCTGTACAAATAGATATATCTTACACTCAGCAATTTTAAGGAATAAACTTAAGGTACTGCGTTGAGGAACATATATTTTCCTTCTAATGTCATTTCAAGACATCGTTCTGGTTAGCTTCCAGCCCAAACAACTCATTGGTGTACTCCTTCAAATATTACCAATGCCAAAACCACCCCTTGCTATGCTCCTTCCAACATCACCATTGCAATTTCCATGCCAAAACCACCCTTCGCTATGCTCCTTCCAACACCACCATTGCAATATCCATGCCAAAACCACCCATCGCTATGCTCCTTCCAACACTACCATTGCAATATCCATGCCAAAATCACCCATCGCTATGCTCCTTCCAACACTACCATTGTAATATCCATGCCAAAACCACCCCTCGCTATGCTCCTTCCAACACCACCATTGCAATATCCATGCCAAAACCACCCATCGCTATGCTCCTTCCACCACCACCA